TAAAGTACACATCATTTCAAATTCCTCATTTTAAGCAAACCAGATGGCGCCATTTTTATTTATTTATTCACTGATAAACTGGGGCACATTCCAACACTCTGACATCATTTACAAACAAAGCATGTGTGTTTAGTGAGTCCACCAGATCAGAGGCAGTAGGGATGACCAGGGATGTTCTCTTGATAAACGTGTGAATTTGATCATTTTCCTGTCCTGCTAAGCATTCAAAATGTAACGAGTACTTTTGGGTGTCAGGGAAAATGTAAGGAGTAAAAAGTACATTATTTTCTTTAGGAATGTAGTGAAGTAAAAGTAAAAGTTGTCAAAAATATAAATAGTAAAGTAAAGTACAGATACCCCCCCCAAAAAAATACTTAAGTAGTACTTTAAAGTATTTTTACTTAAGTACTTTACACCACTGGGAATAACATGTTGATACAGTAGCAAGCCTGGAGTAGACTAACCAGAAGAGAAAGACATTACGAGCTTTTCAAGACCTGTAAAGTTCCCAACTCCCCACAACACACTCACTCACCCTCCAGTCTCTGCTCCTGAATCCATGCAGTCATCTTCTGTTGAATTCTTGTCCATCTCAGAGGATAACAACATCTGTAGTCCCCTGTAGCTCAGTTGGTAGAGCATGGCGCTTGCGACGCCAGGGTTGTGGGTTCGATTCCCACTGGGGACCAGTATATAAATTAAAATAAATGTATGCGCTAACTGTAAATCGCTCTGGAAAAGAGCGTCTGCTAAAAATTTAAAAATATTTTTTTATTTAGTTTGAATATTTTTGTACATTTGTCCTGAACCTTTGTTGATGTGCGACTCAAACGTTATTTTTTTCTACGTTAAAATAAGAGACGCCACAGAAGAGGAGAGAAGAGAAGAGGTGCGTACAGCTACTTCTCTCTTGCAGCAGAACAACATTCTCTCAAACTCTCCACCAGCAAAAAGGCTGGCACCTCTACAGACTTTTGTTTCACTGCATAATCCCCGCTCATTGAGCAAATGGTTGCCTTTATTGCCACCATGTGGTACAGAGAGGTACTGTTGTACCTGCTTTGATACAACGGTAGGCTAGAATGTATGATGATCACACATTGTATTATATTGTACAATGATAGAGGATAATGTTTTTAGACACCTAAACAATTTACACAATGATTCCATTCCATTCACAACTCTCAGTGTCATGATACGGTTGGTAATCTTAGCCCTTAAGACCTCACAATCTTCTACAGATGCACCATTGAGAGCATCCTGTCGGGGCTGTATCACCGCCTGGTACGGCAACTGCACCGTCCTCAACCGCAGGGCTCTCCAGAGGGTGGTGAAGGTCAGCCCAACGCATCACCGGGGGCACACTGCCTGCCCTCCAGGACATCTACAGCGGCCGGTGTCACAGGAAGACCAAGCAAATCATCAAGGACCTCAGCCACCCGAGCCACGGCCTGTTCACCCCGCTACCATCCAGAAGGTGGAGACAGTACAGGTGCATCAAAGCTGGGACAGAGAGACTGGTAAACAGCTTTTATCTACAGGCCATCAGAATGTTAAACATTTACCACTAGCCGGCCTCTGCCCAGTACCCTGGCCTGAACTTTAGTCACTGTTACTAGCTGGCTACCACTCGGTACTCAACCCTGCACCTTAGAGACTGCTGCCCTATGTACATAGTCATTCAACACTGGTCACTTCAATAATGTTTACATACTGTTTACCCTCTTCATATGTATATACTGTATTCTAGTCAAGGCTCATCCTATATAACTACTGCTGTCCACTCCATATGTATTTACTGTATTCTAGTCATGGTTCATCCTATATAACTACTGCTGTACTCACCATTTATATTCATATACTGTCCATGATGTCTATACACACCATCCTATACATATATATATATTCCAGACTCTGACATTATTTTGGGGATTTGTGTGTATTGTTTTGTATTGTTAGGTATTACTGCACTGTTGGAGCTAGGAACATAAGCATTTCACTACACCCGAGATAAATGTAATTTGAATCCCCAAGGTCTCCAAATTGTGAACTAGACATTCGTTTGGCGTCGGTAGGCTCTGTGATTGCCCTCCACCCCCCCTCTGTCTTTCATCTAAATCTGTTTGGGTTATTTTGTTCTGTAAAGACAGAGCCTAGACAGCCATTGGGATTTGTGTTGTAAATAAGCCCAAGTGTTGTCCAATTGATAGAGAAGGAGATAGGAATTTAATATCAAAACACCCTTTACTATCACCCCTCCTTCTCATTGGTCTGGTAGAGAGAGGGGTGTTCTTTGGACTCCTTCTCACTGGTCTGGTAGAGAGGGGGTGTGGTCTGATAGAGAGGGGGTGTTCCTTGGACTCCTCATTGGTCTGATAGAGAGGGGATGTTCCTTGGCCTCCTTATCATTGGTCTGGTAGAGAGGGGGTATGGTCTGATAGAGAGGGGGTGTTCCTTGGACTCCTCATTGGTCTGATAGAGAGGGGGTGTTCCTTGGCCTCCTTCTCATTGGTCTGATAGAGAGGGGGTGTTCCTTGGACTCCTCATTGGTCTGACAGAGAGAGGGGGTGTGGTCTGGTATAGAGGGGGTGTTCCTTGGACTCCTCATTGGTCTGACAGAGAGAGGGGGTGTGGTCTGGTTCCTTGTGGTCTCTCCTTATTACGTCATTATTATCCAAGATACTCCTGACCATTACACTCATAACCAAGAACTATCACTAAAATCACATGAGGCTATTGTATTACAGTCCATCTGATCAACTCCCCCTCTCTGTTTCAACAGAACTCAGAGTGTCATGATGACTAGGCCTACTGGATCACAGTAGTTTATTTGAGAGTTTAAATTGAATAGCCTTCCTTGCATGCTGTGGATTATTCAAACACTCAACCACTCTGATAAACAGATCCTAATATGAACCAATATGTGAAACCCACTTAGCCTGAGGAGTGAGCATGAGGTGGAATGTAGCATGACACTTAGGCTGTGTTTACACAACCAGCCCTATTCTGATCTTTTCACCAATTATTGGCAAAATATCTGATCTGATTGGTGAACAGATCAGAATTAGGCTGCCTTCTTGCACTTTTCACAGCCATGATGGATCTGTCTAAATGTTGAAGTCAGCCCTTTGTTGTTGTTGTCTCCGCTGAACCTACACATAACATACATTTTACATAGATAAAACCACACACCTGCATCTGAAAGAAAAGACGAAACATTTGTAGAGCACAAACATGTTCTTCCCATTGTCGCCTCTTTCTACAACATAGACACACAATACACAGGACTGGGATCAGTGGAGAAGCCTAGCCATCGTTCACACATACAGTACCTTAGCTAGCTAGTAACCACATGTTGAACTGAACTGGGATCAGTGGAGGAGCCAGACATCGTTCATACATCCAATACCTTAGCTAGCTAGTAACCGCATGTTGAACTGAACTGGGATCAGTGGAGGAGCCAGACATCGTTCATACATCCAATACCTTAGCTAGCTAGTAACCACATGTTGAACTCAGAATGTTAATATCATCCTAAAAAGTACAATTACAATTGCATCTTAACAATACCATCCACTTATGAGTAAATTCTAAATATACAACATTATTCGTGAACAAAACACTGTGTGTCATGACTTTGCGCTTAAAGGAATCTAACTTTTCTGAAAAAATGACAGACAAAGCGTCGCCTACCTCTCATAGTGCATCAAAATGATTTGAGCACGAGCACGCAGGGCAAAACGTTAAGTACACACTCCCCTATTCCCAGGATGCAGACATGCATAAAAACAAATCAACATGCTACACTAATATAGGAACCTGGTGAAATTCACAAAGTATTTTAACAACTGTTACACTGTTGTCCCCGCTGAACCTCACGTGTAACAATGTTCCACTATAACCGTGACGATCTAATAGGCTCCATCACTCCTACAAATCTCTTGTTAATAAAATGACTCAAGGTGTAAATATTTTCCCTTTCTTGGCCCAGTGCAGTCAAAAACGTGATTCCCCCCCCCCCGTGTTTTATATATAATTCCACACTATGAGGTTGGAATAATACTGTGAAATTGTAAAAAATTATTATATAATGGCATTTTAGTGTAAGAGCTGTTTGAAAAGACTAGCTGCAATTTCAGCCTGTGTGGTGGAGTTTTGGCCTTCCTGGTGACATAACAATTTTAATTGAAAACAATCACAGTAAGGTACTTAATTGTTACCCAGAAATGATTTGATATTGAGATAAAAACAGCTGCACTGGACCTTTAAGTGAATCCCAATTAGTTGACATTGCACATCAGAAGCTGGGAGGCAGCAGATTCCCGACAGAGCAAATATAAAGCTGTGGTCTATTTTTAAGGCTCTGGTTGTCCTCTTATCACAAGGCGAGTGACAGACACAAGAATATGCAGTCTGATCTATGATGACGTTCTATTATTGTGATACAGACAAATGAAGAATAAAGGTTTCTTCTGAGAAGGGGAGTTGTGTGTGTCTGTTAGTTTCCGGAGTTATAGCCTATTACAAAATACAGATGAGCTGAAATATGAGTCTTGGTGATTGATGATTGGAAGTTTTTATGTCCAAATCACTTCTGTGAAATGAACCCACTGCGCCAGTGAGTAAAGGGTGGACTTTTGGTGCTTTCAAAGCAACTGGGAATTCCGAAAGAAACAAAAAAAAAAGAGGTACATTAATGACGTCAGCGATCTTCAGGTCGGAAAGACGGAGCTCTAGAAAGATGCCGGAGTTCGATGAACATTCAAACGATTATTCCCATTGGAGCTCGTTTTTTTTTTTGCGAGTTCCCAGTTGTGTTGAATGCCCTGAAATGTCCGACTTGTTTAAAATACGGCATTTATCCCCATGATGTGAACTCCTTGAACCTTTTTTTATTTTGGACGTGCCCCCGGATTTGATTGGGCAGCAAGAGACCAACGCCTTCTGACGGCTCGTCAAACAGAAACCTGCTCCACGGATAGGATTTTGTCAACGTCACTGGAAGGAGTCGCGCATTGGTCTCAAACCTGTCCTGAACAGTCAGCCAGCAGCGGTGAATATAAAGCCGACTAACGTTTATAGAAATTTACACCACAGACACGAACAGAAGGATGTCCGCAGCGTCTTACTCTGAACGGATCACAATGGGGCCCCTGGTCGCAGCTATCGATCAAGGCACAAGCTCGACTAGGTTTCTGGTGAGTTGGTAGGCACAACAAGCCACTGAGTTATAATATGCCAAGCGTGAATACATTTTTTGTGTATGGGTGGTCCCGGGGATCGAACCCACTACCCTGGCGTTACAAGCGCCATGCTCTACCAGTTGAGCTACAGAGAACCACATTATGAATGGGTTGCATTCTCCTGTTTACTTTTTAAGGTCCTCTTAAATGTAACTTCATGTAGTCTACGTAATCTCCGAAAGGAATTATTTATTATGAGAGGACAATCAACAATAACTAGTAATGTGGCATACTGCAAGAAAGGTTCAAATATCACATTCTGATCATTTAAAAATAAATTTTTGAGGTGTAGTCACTGTTGAGGACATAAGCTCAAGTACACAGTACAAATATGATACAAAAATATGAAATATTTTATGACATTTCCTATTTAACAACACATGAATAAGGCTTGAAATGACTTGTATGATTTCTAAATAGAGTGTAATCAAATTGTTAAACCACAAACTGTGTAAGTTTTCACCCTCCTTATAACTGTAAAATACATGTTTAGTATTTTCAGAAGGTCTCTCTTGATCAAAACGTCTGCCCCCACCACTGTGAACATCACACAGAGCTCTAGCCTGGCTTCCTGAACTCGTTAGGAACTTGCCTTTCATCTTATATTAATCTTGTCCAAACAGAAAGTGTTTTTTTTGTTTAAAATCTGTTAGTTATTTTTTCGATTAATAGCTATAAATTGATCTCTGAATGTACTATAGTGATGAAACCACTCTCTCCTGCTGTGCTGCAGTATAAGGAGTGCGGGCGTGTGCTATGTCAGTGGTGGTGAAGTAGGGTTCAGCCAGGAGTTGATGGACAGTCGGAAGAGCAAAAAAATAGACAACTGTGTCCGTGGGAACCAGGGCTACTGCTCAATGCAAGCCATTTCAATCTACGGTGTCCACAGATCGATTTACAAGTGAAAATGTTGGTACGAAACCGGTATCAGAACCACGCAGGCCCCTAAACAGGGGACTTTACATCTACAATGTTTTTAAGTAAACTGCAGTTTTCGTCCTCATGCTAGCTAGCTAGCAGTAGCCACAGCAGCCATTGTGGATTTTTTATTTATTTTTGGTTGTCATTTTATCAGACGCTCTTATCCAGAGCGACTTACAGTTAGTGAGTGCATACATTTTTATTTTTTATTTTTCATACCCCCCCTGTGGAATGTCACGTTGAACAACAAATGAGCTGATTGGCTGACACTGCCATTCTAAAATGGCTGCTGTGGCTTCTGGTACCTACCATGAGGACGAAAAGGAAAAGTTTTTTCTGGAAAAAACTGTCAGTCGTTCAATCTTCTTGGTGTAACAGTTGAGATAATGGGACAGTTCGGAGTACAGCACATTTCTCATCCCTGGATTGAGGTATGTTTTCCGAGCCATCTCTTGCTCTGGCTCCATGGTGTCTTAATCTAAACAGGAAGCCTGTCCGACCCCAGCCCAATATATAGGAGCCTAATGTTACTCCTTAGAGTCCAAGGACCTGACATGTTCTGTTTAGAGGCGAAGTGGCTCTGGAAGCCAAAACAGACAAATACTCCATCTAAACGTGAATCGATTCTCAACTGTTCTGTTTAGAGGCCAAGTGGCTCTGGAAGCCAAAACAGACAAATACTCCATCTAAACGTGAATCGATTCTCAACTGTTCTGTTTAGAGGCCAAGTGGCTCTGGAAGCCAAAACAGACAAATACTCCATCTAAACGTGAATCGATTCTCAACTGCCGCACGGTTCTAGAATCACAAAGCCCTCTACTTTCATAGCACATCCAAAATAATTTCACAAAATGCTAAATACACACTTACGCTGACTGTTTTAACAAGGTCGCAGCCTACAGTAATTTTTCAAGTGACACGTTTGTGGCGTCTGTCTTCCGTTTTACACACAGGTGTTTCGGAGACGCAGGTAGCGATTTTTAGCACAGGTAGTCCCCTCTGTCTTCCGTCTGTTTTCCGTAAGCAAGAGCTGTGACATGGAGATACTCTGAGTGTAGAAAACATTTGGGACACCTTCCTAATATTGAGTTGTACACCTCCTTTTGCCCCTCAGAACAGCTTCAATTCGTCCTGGGAATGGACTCTACAAGGTGTCGAAAGCGTTCTACAGGGATGCTGGCTCCATGTTGACTCCAATGCTTCCCACAGTTGTGTCAAGTTGGCTGGATGTCCTTTGGGTGTTGGACCATTCTTGATACACATGGGGAAACTGTTGAGTGTGAAAAATCCAGCAGTGTTGGAAGTTCTTGACACCCTCAAACCGGTGCGCCTGGCACCAACTACCATACCCTGTTTAAAGGCACTTCAATCTTTTGTCTTGCCCATTCAACCTCTAAATGGCACACATACACAATCCATGTCTCAAGGCTTAAAAATCCTTCTTTAACCTGTCTCCTCCCCTTCATCTACACTGATTTGAAGGTGACATCAATAAGGGATCATAGCTTTCACCTGGATTCACCTGGTCAGTCTGTCATGGAAAGAGCAGGTGTTCTGATTCAGAGGGGTTGGGTTAAATGTGGAAGACACATTTCAGTTGAATGCATTCAGCTGTACAACTGACTAGGTATCCCCCTTTTACCTTCCTTTTCCAGATGTTTTGTACTCTCAGTGTATGGCCATGTGGGAACCCTAACGCTATAAAGGTCTCGATTTAACCTCATTGTTTTTTGAAAATTATTTATTGCCGATAAGGTCCTCGTGCTTCCAAAACCGTACCGCAAGCGATGCGTGTTAATGTTCAGACGCACGTCGCGGCTCTTAAGAAACCCCCCCCCCCCCCCCCCCCCCCCCTACAGAAGACGCCTTCGTCCAATGACTCATGTAATGTAATGTAACAGAGTCATGATCAAGGGCGAGTCCGACCCTAGTGCAGCTGTAAGCAGGTTTGATGTAGACAGGCGTCCTTTAAGAGGGTATCGTATTGCTGTATCTATTTCCTTTTTTTAAATAGTCAATAGAGTTCTGCATACTACATTGTGACTCTTTCCCCCTCAAGTCACACCTTTGATTTCTCACCATTGATCACTACCTTGGTGGCAGCACTGGGATAGTTCCTACAGTATTAGAACAGCGTGTCAGCGTAGACTACTTCAAACCTCCCAAGAAATCTGGAACTCTATGGAACAAGTGATAAAGCACTTGCCCTATAGTTACTGGCCTCCCGAGTGGCGCAGTGGTCTAAGGTACTGTGCCACTAGAGATCCTGGTTCGAATCCAGGCTCTGTCGTAGCCGGCCGCGACCGGGAGACCCATGGGGCGGCGGCGCACAATTGGCCCAGCGTCGTTTGCAACGCCAGGGTTGTGGGTTCGATTCCCACGGGGGGCCAGTAAGAAGAAAAAATAGTATGCACTCACTAACTGTAAGTCGCTCTGGATAAGAGCGTCTGCTAAATGACTAAAATGTAGGTTACTGGTTCAAACCCTGATCTGGTTGTTCTGCTACGTTATACAGTGAGGGGAAACAAGTATTTGATCCCCTGCTTTGTACGTTTGCCCACTGACAAAGACATGATCAGTCTATCATTTTAATGGTAGGTTTATTTGAACAGTGAGAGACAGAATAACAACAACAAAAATCCAGAAAAACTATTTGACCCCCTCTCAATCAGAAAGATTTCTGGCTCCAAGGTGTCTTTTTATACAGGTAACGAGCTGAAGTTAGGAGCACACTCTTAAAGGGAGTGCTCCTAATCTCAGCTTGTTACCTGTATAAAAGACACCTGTCCACAGAAGCAATCAGAAGCCAAACTCTCCACCATGGCCAAGACCAAAGAGCTCTCCAAGGATGTCAGGGACAAGATTGTAGACCTACACAAGGCTGAAATGGGCTACAAGACCATCGCCAAGCAGCTTGGTGAGAAGGTGACAACAGTTGGTGTGATTATTTGCAAATGGAAGAAACACAAAATAACTGTCAATCTCCCTCGGCCTGGGGCTCTATGCAAGATCTCACCTCGTGGAGTTGCAATGATCATGAGAACGGTGAGGAATCAGCCCAGAACTACACGGGAGGATCTTGTCAATGATCTCAAGGCAGCTGGTACCATAGTCACCAAGAAAACAATTGGTAACACACTACGCCGTGAAGGACTGAAATCCTGCAGTGCCCGCAAGGTCCCCCTGCTCAAGAAAGCACATATACATGCCCGTCTGAAGTTTGTCAATGAACATCTGAATGATTCAGAGGAGAACTGGGTGAAAATGTTGTGGTCAGATGAGACCAAAATCGAGCTCTTTGGCATCAACTCAACTCGCCGTGTTTGGAGGAGGAGGAATGCTGCCTATGACCCCAAGAACACCATCCCCACCGCCAAACATGGAGGTGGAAACATTATGCTTTGGGGGTGTTTTTCTGCTAAGGGGACAGGACAACTTCACCGCATCAAAGGGACGATGGATTGGCCATGTACCGTCAAATCTTGGGTGAGAACCTCCTTCCCTCAGCCAGGGCAGGAAAATGGGTCGTGGATGGGTATTCTAGCATGACAATGATCCAAAACAAACGGCCAAGACAACAAAGGAGTGGCTCAAGAAGAGGCACATTAAGGTCCTGGAGTGGCCTAGCCAGTCTCCAGACCTTAATCCCATAGAAAATCTGTGGAGGGAGCTGAAGGTTCGAGTTGCCAAACGTCAGCCTCGAAACCTTAATGACTTGGAGAAAATCTGCAAAGAGGAGTGGGACAAAATCCCTCCTGAGATGTGTGCAAACCTGGTGGCCAACTACAAGAAACGTCTGACCTCTGTGATTGCCAACAAGGGTTTTGCCACCAAGTACTAAGTCATGTTTTACAGAGGGGTCAAATACTTATTTCCCTCATTAAAATGCAAATCAATTTATAACATTTTTGACATGCGTTTTTCTGTATTTTTTTGTTGTTATTCTGTCTCTCACTGTTCAAATAAACCTACAATTAAAATTATAGACTGATCATTTCTTTGTTAGTGGGCAAACGTACAAAATCAGCAGGGGATCAAATATCAAATACTTTTTTCCCTCACTGTACCTCTACCTGAATAAACTGTGACGTGCTACAGTTTCACTTGTCTTGGTTAAACAAGAAGCTGTCCATTTTCTGGAGAGGATGTTGCTTTTTGACACGTCCTGCTGTGACTAAATATGCACGGCGTTCCAAGCGACATGAGTCTTGGCCTAACCAGTCTTGGACAACGTGTCTAACTCTCGCCAAAGTGTGGGCAACATGTAGCCTACACATTAACTACTATCCTATGGGTGAGAGGTCAAGCACTCCTTTCTTAAAATGTGCGTAGAGGACAGGAGTCCAACTGGCCCCTTTCTCTTTTTAACAGGTAAAAACAATGAAGTAACAAGTTAAGTGAATTATTGATGAACAAAACACATCTTCAGTGTCTGGGGTAAAACCTGATAATCTAAACCACTTGTCTTTCCTGGACTGTAACACGATGCTTAGTGATTATTTCAACTGAGCATCACTTTTCACACTAATGTTATTCATTCTGTAAATTCCACGGTATCTACTGATGAGGACATGCATTCATCTACCTGAAAGGTTCATGTCCTGCAGTTATGTAACACCTGACGGTCGTGCTAATCAATGTTTGCTTTGTTTATCTGTCAACATTGTTGCTTGATAAGAGTTTTAAAACCAAGGGTGAACATTGTCTCTCATACCACCTTGTGGATTGCATGTCTCTGTGTAGGCTGTGTATGGGCAATTCCGTGGAAAAGTCGACCTGAGCATGCCCAAATAGCTTGTCATTTCCAAATTAAAACACGTTCATAATTATCCTTAGGGGTCTACGTTGGAGTTCAGGCTTTTAACTGAAATGTTTTACTAGGAAATTGCAGAGTAGGAGGCCAAGTCTGAAAGGCTTTTCAGTCAATCATATTTCATGGCTTTTTGAAAGAGCTCGTTTCTTCACTCACAGCACAATGTTAGTTATGAAGATGAGATGTTAACCCTTTTACACTCGTAGAAAAATTGCAGATTTTGTCATTAATGAGCTCCTAAATCAGAACACAGTGGCTGTGCAGTAACATGCTATATATCACATCAGAGCTCAGGGTCTCGGCTTACATTTTAGTCATTTAGCAGACGCTCTTATCCAGAGCGACTTACAGGAGCAATTAGGGTTAAGTGCCTTGCTTAAGGGCACATCGACAGATTTTTCACCTAGTCGGCTCGGTGATTAGAACCAGCGACCTTTCGGTTACTGGCACAACGCTCTTACCCACTAAGCTACCTGCCGCCCATCACAGCGCTGTATGGGTTTTGGCTGACAGTAGAGCACCGCGCGGGACAACAAGTCCACCCAAGAAAATTTGCCGCGGAACACATCTGAATGCACTCATTCTATGCGCACAAAGATTGCCATCTGCTTCTCTGAATTGCCTTGTGAAAGCCTAACACTGTAAGATCGTATTTTTATAATTTAGCTACTTATGTTGGCAATAGAACAAGCTTTGAAATGATGCCCACCTGACCCAGATTGTGTTTTATAATAGCTGTTTTTGGAATCGCGTAAACAACAGTAAACTGTGTGAGGGCGGGGACCCAGGGTTGTATCCCAAAAAAAAAAAACTACCAGTGTGTTTGCTCTAGTTCCTCAACGGAACAGCAAGGAGAGCTCAAAAAGACACCACCTAGTTGAAGGCTCTTTCCTTGAGTCATAAAAGTGCATTGAAATGACTAAGGAACTGTGCTCAGGTTGGAGAGATGTGCTGAGCAGTTGTTGGCTGCTTTTCCTTCACGCTGTGATCCAACTCATCCCAAACCATCTCAATTGGGTTGAGGTCTGGGGATTGTGGAGGCCAGGTCATCTGATGCAGCACTCCATCACTCTCCTTCTTGGTAAAATAGCCCTTACACAGCCTGGAGGTGTGTTGGGTCATTGTCCTGTTGAAAAACAAATGATAGCCCCACTAAGCGCAAACCAGATGGGATGGCGTATCGCTGCAGAATGCTGTGGTAGCCATGCTGGTTAAGTGTGCCTTGAATTCTAAATAAATCACAGACAGTGTCACCAGCAAACCACCCCCACACCATAACACCTCCTCCATCCGTTCACCCACACCGCGTCTCACAAAGACACGGCGGTTGGAACCCAAAATCTCCAACCCAACTCTGGGTCTTCCATTCCTGTGGCGGTCCTCATGAGAGCCAGTTTCATCATAGCGCTTGATGGTTTTTGCGACTGCACTTGAAGAAACTTTCAAAGTTCTTGAAATGTTCCGTATTGACTGACCTTCATGTCTTAAAGTAATGATGGACTGTCGTTTCTCTTTGCTTATTTGAGCTGTTCTTGCCATAATATGGACTTGGTCTTTTACCAAATAGGGCAATCTTCTGTATACCCCCCCCTACCTTGTCACAACACAACTGATTGGCTCAAACGCATTAAGAAGGAAATTAATTCCACAAATTAACTTTTAAGAAGGCACACCTGTTAATTGAAATGCATTCCAGGTGACTACCTCATGAAGCTGGTTGAGAAAATGCCAAGAGTGTGCAAAGCTGTCATCAAGGCAAAGGGTGGCTACTGCATGATTCTATATTTGTTATTTCATAGTTTTGATGTCTTCACTATTATTCTACAATGTAGAAGTGGTCTAAGGCACTGCATCGCAGTGCTAGCTGTGCCACTAGAGATCCTGGTTCGAATCCAGGCTCTGTCGTAGCCGGCCGTGACCGGGAGACCCATGGGGCGGCGCACAATTGGCCCAGCGTCGTCCAGGGTAGGGGAGGGAATGGCCGGCAGGGATGCTGGTAGAGTAGAGCATGGTGTTTTCAACGCCAGGGTTGTGGGTTCGATTCCCGCGGGGGGCCAGTATGAAAAATAAATACAAATATGTATGTACTCACTAACTGTAAGTCGCTCTGGATAAGAGCGTCTGCTAAATGACTAAAATGTAAATGTAGAAAATAGTAAAAATAAAGAAACCCTGGAATGAGTAGGTGTGTTAACTTTTCACTGGTACTGTATGTGAAAATGGCATGTTTCTATGTTTTGTAGTGAGGAAGGAAGATAAGCGTTTCTAATGACATCATCAGTGAGCATCATGTGATTTTAACCAATTATAAGTAGGAATTGCCTACTAATTGTCTACTAATTGGTTGATGCCATTGGAAACACTTGTCTTCCTCTATCTTTTTGACTACAGAACATAGAAACGTGCTAGTTTCACACGTTGATGTGGTGCTGGAGATGAATATTGAAATGTTTATTTAAAGCAATACAGACCAAATGTAACATCCCATGATATGTTTTAGGATTTTTGTTTTTTTGGGGGGGGGTCATCTTAACATTGTCTGTAACGCTTTCATCATGGTTTTATATGGTCTAGAATTGGTTTCTCTTTTGTGGATGTGATGGATGTTGATGGATCATATCTTAGCTTCAGAATGCTTGTTCTGGTATGTGTTCTTCAGACTGTTACAGAAGCGATTGTTGAAATCTTGAAAATGATGTCTAAGATTATCTTGTAAATAAATGCATTTCTCATACGTGGTACTACTGTTGTTGTTGTTTTTGTTGATAGAAAGGTAAAGTGTTAATAAACAACATGTGAATAGCCCTGAAGATGGCTCTAAATTAAACATTTTCATTGGTAGCAAAAGTTAGGAACACGGCATCAGAATGCATATATATGTTTAATTGATTGAGATATTAGCATATTGGGCCTAGATTAATACTATACTGAACAAAAATATAAACGCAACATGTAAAGTGCTGTTCCCATGTTTCATGAGCTGCAATAAAAGATCCCAGAAATCTTCCATACGCACAAAAAGCTTATATTTCTAAACTGTTGTACACAAATTTGTTTACATCCCTGTTAGTGAGCATTTCTCCTTTGCCAAGATAATCCATCCACCTGACAGGCGTGGCATATCAAGAAGCTGATTAAACAGCATGATCATTACACAGGTGCACCTTGTGCTGGGGACAATAAAAGGGCACTCTAAAATGTGCAGTTTTGTCACACAACACAATGCCACAGATGTCTCATGTTTTGAGGGAGCGTGCAATTGGCATGCTGGCTGCTGGAATGTCCACCAGAACTGTTGCCAGATAATTTTATGTTTATTTCTCAACCATAAGCCGCCTCCAACGTTGTTTTAGAGAATTTGTTAGTACGTCCAAAAGGCCTCACAACTGGAGACCACGTGTATGGCGTCGTGTGGGCGAGCGGTTTGCTGACGTCAACGTTGTGAGCAGAGTGCCCCATGGTGGCAGTGGGGTTATGGTATGGGCAGGCATGGACAATGAACACAATTGGATTTTATCGATAGCAATTTAAATGCACAGAGATACCGTGAAAAGATCCTGATGCCCATTACCGTGCCATTCATCCGCTGCCATCACCTCATGTTTCAGCATGATAATGCACGGCCCCATGTCGCAAGGATCTCTAAACAATTCCTGGAGGCTGAAAATGTCCCAGTTCTTCCATGGCCTGCATACTCACCAGACATGTCACCCATTGAGCACGTTTGGGATGCTCTGGATCGACGTGTACGACAGCGTGTTCCAGTTCCCGCCAGTATCCAGCAATTTCGCACAGCCGTTGAAGAGGAGTGGGACAACATTCCACAGGCCACAATCAACAGCCTGATCAACTCTATGCGAAGGAGATGTCGCGCTGCATGAGGCAAATGGTGGTCACACCAGATACGGACTGGTTTTCTGATCCACACCCCTACTTAAAAAAAAAAAGGTTTTCTGTGACCAACAGATTCATATCTATATTCCCAGTCATGTGAAATCCATAGATTAGGGCCTACATTTATTTAAATTGACTGATTTCCTTTAAATGAACTGTAAATCGGTAAAAATCTTTTAAATTGTTGCATGTTGCGATTTTATATTTTTGTTCAGTATTAATCAGATATAAGATGACTTGCATCTCTCGATCTCTGTCTCTCCTCTCCTCAGGTGTTCAATTCTAAAACCGCAGAGCTGATCAGTCACCACCAGGTTGGGATAAAGCAGAGTTTCCCTAAAGAGGGGTGAGTGTACACTCCTGACATCACATTGCAATAACGTCCGCTTGCCCAGTACCGATACTTTTATTAGCAGGCCTTCTCTTCTCCTCCTCTACTAGGGGGAATTCTGTTCCAACAGGATTGGTCAGTGATGACGGGGAGAATGGAAAGAGGGAAAATATGGAAAGGAGGATCTTATGAATGTCAACATTTACTAAATCTCCTCCCTGGGTTGAGTCAATACTGAGTACAAAGAACTGAGGTTACACTTTAATGAAGATCCCTTGGTTTTTATTCCCCTTAGCTGAATGCGTGAGCTGTCAAGAGTCCAATGTCCAGGGCTTCTTTACATTAGATAGGCAGAGAGATTACACAGACAATGGTGTTCTACTGCTATTAAAGCCTTATTTGGGAGTGTAGAGTGCATTTGGAAAGTATCCAGACCCCTTGACTTTTTCCACATTTTGTTACGTTACAGCCTTTCTCCTCCCTCATCCATCTACACACAATATCCCGTAATGACAAAGCAGAAACTGGTTTTTAGAAATGTTTGCAAATGTGTAAAACATTTAATAACCTGATATCACATTTACATAGGTATTCAGACCCTTTACTCAGTACTTTGTTGAAGCACCTTTGGCAGCGATTACAGCCTAGAGTCTTCTTGGGTATGACGCTACAAGCTTGGCACAACTGTATTTGGGGAGTTTCTCCCATTCTTCTCTGCAGATCCTCTCATGCACTGTCAGATTGGATGTGGAGCATTGCTGCACAGCTATTTTCAGGTCTCTCCAGAGATGTTCGATCGGGTTCAAGTCTGGGCTCTGGCTGGGCCACTCAAGGACATTCAGAGACTTGTCCCAAAGCCAGTCTTGCGTTGTCTTGGCTGTGTGCTTAGGGTTGTTGTCCTGTTGGAAGGTAAACCTTCACCCCAGTCTGAGGTCCTGAGCGCTCTGGAACAGGTTTTTATTAAGCATCTCTGTACTTTGCTCCGTTCAGCTTTCCCTCGATCCTGACTAGTCTCCCAGTCCCTGCAGCTGAAAAACATCCCCACAGCATGAAGCTGCCACCACCGTGCTTCACCGTAGGTATGATTCCAGGTTTCCTCCAGTCGTGACGCTTGGCATTCAGGCCAAAGAGTTTCATCAGACAAGATCATCTTGTTTCTCATGGTCTGACAGTCCTTTAGGTGCTATTTGGCAAACTCCAAACGGGCTGTCATGTGCTTTTACTGAGGAGTGGCTTCCATCTGGCCACTCAACCATGAAGGCCTGATTGTTGGACTGCTGCAGAGATGGTTGTCCTTCTGGAAGGTTCTCCCATCTCCATAGAGGAACTCTGGTGCTCTGTCAGAGTGACCATCAGGTTCTTGGTCACCTCCCTGACCAAGGTCTTTCTCCCCCGATTGCTCAGTTTGGCCTGACGGCCAGCTCTAGGAAGAGTCTTGGTGTTTCCAAGTTTCTTCCATTTAAGAATGATGGAAGCCACTGTGTTCTTGGGGACCTTCAATGCTGAAAATGTTTGGTACCCTTCCCCAGCTCTGTGCCTCGACACAATCCTTTCTCTGAGCTCTACGGACAATTCCTTCGACCTCATGGCTTGGTTTTTGCTCTGACATGCACTGTCAACTGTGGGACCTTATATAGACAGCTGTGTGCCTTTTCCAAATCATGTCCAAACAATTGAATTTACTGAAGGTGGACTCCAATTTGTAAAAACATCTCAAGGATGATCAATGGAAACAGGATGCACCTGATCTCAATTTCGAGTCTGATAGCAAAGGGTCTGAATACTTATGTAAATAAGGTATTTCTGTTTTTTTTTTAAAAGAGCCTATTTTCACTTTGTCATTATGGGGTGTTGTGTGTAGATAATTTTTTATTTTATATATTTTAGAATAAGGCTATTTACATATGTGCCTGGGTTCTTTTGGAAAGACTCTATGTCCGGTCAGGACCTTTTAAACCAACTGTCTTTTGCCCCTGACGAGAACAGTTGAACAGAGGGGAATTTGACCCAATAGGAGCGAAGGACAGCACCTGTTATTCACGCCCAAAACAAAGCTGAAATATGACACTTGGCGTTCACATTCGACCTTGTTCCTTCTCTGAACTGCTACTTTTTAACACTGGTAAAACCCCTTTTTCAGCTAATGCAAACACTTAGTTGATCTGTCTCTTGGTTTCTCTCAGCTGGGTGGAAGAGGACCCTAAGGAGATTCTTCAGTCAGTTTATGAGTGTATGGAGAGGACCTGCGAGAAGCTTGGCCAGCTCAACATCGACATCTCCAATATTAAAGGTATGGTGGCATATATCTGTAGTGGTTCTCAGGACTCCCATCATCAACATCTCCAATATTAAAGGTATGGTGGTATATACAGTGCCTTCTGAAAGTATTCACACCCCTTGACGTTGTCCACATTTTTGTTGTGTTACAGCCTGCATTTAAAATGGATTACATTGAGATTGTTTGTCACTGGCCTACACACAATACCCCATAATGTCAATGTGGAATTATATTTTTTCTAAATGTTTACAAATGAATTAGAAATGAAAAGCTGAAATGTATTGAGTCAATAAGTCACATAATACGTCGCATGGAATCACTCTGTGTGCAATAATAGTGTTGAACATGATTTTTGAATGACTACCTCATCTCTGTACCACAAACATGTAAATGATCTGTAAGGTCCCTCAGTCGAGCAGTGAATTTCAAACACAGATTCAACCATAAAGACTAGGGAGATTTTCCAATGCACACCTATTGGTAGATGGGTAAAAAAACAGACATTGAATATCCCTTTGAGCATGGTGAAGTTATTAATGGCACTTTGGATGGTGTATCAATACACCCACTCGCTACAAAGATACAGGCATCCTTCCTAACTCAGTTGCCAGAGAGGAAGGAAACCGCTCAGGGATTTCACCATGAGGCCAATGGTGACTTTAAAACAGTTACAGAGTTTAATGGATTGGTAGGAGAAAACTGAGAATGGATCAACAACAATGTAGTTACTTGACAATACTAACATAAATGACAAAGTTAAAAGAAGGAAGCCTGTACATAATACAAATATTCCAAAACATGCATCCTGTTTGCAACAAGGCACTAAAGTAATGCTGCAAAAAATCTGGCAAAGCAATTAACTTTTTGTCCTGAATGCAAAGTACTCTCCATATTTTCAAGTATAGTGGTGGCTGCATCATGTTATGAGTATACTTGTAATCGTTAAAGACTGGGGAGTTTTTCAGGATTAAAAAGAAACTGAATGGAGCTAAGCACAGGCAAAATCCTTTCTACCAGACACTGGGAGATTAATTCACCATTTTCAGCAGGACAATAACCTAAAATATAAGGACAAATATACACTGGAGTTGCTTACCGATAAGAGTGGCTGAGTTACAGTTTTGACTTAAATCTACTTGAAAATCTACGGCAAGACCTGAAAATGGCTGTCTAGCAACGATCAACAACCAATTTGACAGAGCTTGAAGAATTTTGAAAATAATAATGGGCAAGTGTTGCACAATCCAGGTGTGGAATGCTCTTGGAGACTTACCCAGAAAGACTCACAGCTGTAATCGCTGCCAAAGGTGCTTCTACAAAGTATTGAGTCAAGGGTGTGAACACTTATCTAAATGAGAAAAATTGCAAACATTTCTAAAAACATGTTTTCACTTTGTCATTATGGGGTGAGAATAAATCATCTATTTGGTCAATTTTGAATTCAGGCTCTAACGCACATGTGTCAAACTCATTCCACGGAGGGCCGAGTGTCTGCGGGTTTTCGCTCCTCCCTTGTACTTGATTGATGAATTAAGGTCACTAATTAGTAAGGAACTCCCCTCACCTGGTTGTCTAGGTCTTAATTGAAAGGAAAAACCAAAAACCCGCAGACACTCGTCCCTCTGTGGAATGAGTTTGACACCCCTGCTCTAACGCAACAAAAATGTGAAATAAGTCCAGGGGTATGAATACTTTCTGAAGGCACTCTATCTGTAGTGGTTCTCAGGACTCCATCATAAACATCTCCAACATTAAAAGGTACCTACAGTGGTTCTCAGGACTCCATTGGGATGCAGCAGTGGGTGTGGCGTTTATTTACCATTTTGTTTTGTGTTTACCCAGCTGTCGGAGTGACCAATCAGAGAGAGACTACGCTGGTTTGGGACAAAGAGACAGGGGAACCACTCTACAATGCTATCGGTGGGTATTACCAAGCGAATTGTTAGACACAAACGTATGTGCCAGAAAGTACGGGGACACCGTCCCCATTGGAAGACTATTGGAAGGAACAGGCTGTTTTGGGATCGGAGTTCTAATTCAGTTTTAGTGACCTTTGCTTTGAAACACACACTGATTCAGACAGCTAGCCCCAGTCTCCCCCTCAAACCTCCACACAGTCTTTACTGTAACTCAACTTAGTAAATGTCCTAAGGTTGTGTGGGAAACCACACAGCACATGGCCAGATTGCATAACATCATCCAGTAGCATTGTTGCAATACCATTACACCCTCCCCCAGCTACAGGAAGTTGTATAGGATGTCAAAACAGTCATGCTTTTCATTCTGCCAGTTCCACCACTGTATGTCTATTGTTGAACATTTTAAGATGGTGTGTGTGTGTGTGTGTGTGTGTGTGTGTGTGTGTGTGTGTGTGTGTGTGTGTGTGTGTGTGTGTGTGTGTGTGTGTGTGTGTGTGTGTGTGTGTGTGTGTGTGTGTGTGTGTGTGTGTGTGTGTGTGTGTGTGTGTGTGTGTGTGTGTGTGTGTGTGTGTGTGTGTGTGTGTGTGTGTGTGTGTGTGTGTGTGTGTGTGTGTGTGTGTGGGTACCAGTTAAAAGTTTGGACACACCTACTCATTCAAGGGTTTTTCTTTATTTTTACTATTTTCTACATTGTAGAATAATATTGAAGACCTCAAAACTATGAAATAACACATATGGAATCATGTAGTAACCCCAAAAAAGTGTTAAACAAATCAAAATATATTTGAGATTCTTTAAAGTAACCACCCTTTGCCTTGACGACAGCTTTGCACACTCTTGGCATTGTCTCAACCAGCTTCATGAGGTAGTCACCTGGAATGCATTTCAATTAACAGGTGTGCCTTCTTAAATGTTAATTTGTGGAATTTCTTTCCTTCTTAATGCGTTTGAGCCAATCAGTTGTGTTGTGACAAGGTAGGGGTGGTATACAGAAGATAGCCCTATTTGGTAAAATACCAAGTCCATATTATGGCAAGGACAGTTCAAATAAGTAAAGAGAAATGACAGTCCATCATTACTTTAAGACATGAAGGTCAGTCAATACGGAATATTTCAAGAACTTTGAAAGTTTCTTCAAGTGCTGTCGCAAAAACCATCAAGCGCTATGATGAAACTTGCTCTCATGAGGACCGCCACAGGAAAGGAAGACCCAGAGTTACCTCTGCTGCAGAGGATAAGTTCATTAGAGTTACCAGCCCCAGAAATTGCAGGCCAAATAAATGCTTCACATAATTCAATTAACAGACACATCTCAACATCAACAGTTCAGGGGAGACTGTGTGAATCAGGCCTTCATGGTCGAATTGCTGCAAGGAAACCACTACTAAAGGACACCAATAATAAGAAGAGACTTGCTTGGGCCAGGAAACACGTTGGTTCCATCCGCCATGTGAGACGCAGAGTAGGTGAACGGATGATCTCTGCATGTGTGGTTCCCACCGTGAAGCATGGAGGAGGAGGTGTGATGGTGTGGGGGTGCTTTGCTGGTGACACTGTCTGTGATCTATTTAGAATTCAAGGCACACTTAACCAGCATGGCTACCACAGCATTCTGCAGCTATACGCAATCACATCTGGTTTGCGCTTAGTGGGGCTATCATTTGTTTTTCAACAGGACAATGGCCCAACACACTTCCAGGCTGTGTAAGGGCTATTTCACCAATAAGTAGAGTGATGGAGTGCTGCATTAGATGACCTGGCCTCCACAATCACCTGACCTCAACCTAATTGAGATGGTTTGGGATGAGTTGGACCGCAGAGTGAAGAAAAAGCAGCCAACAAGTGCTCAGCACATGTGGGAACTCCTTCATGACTGTTGGAAAAGCATTCCAGGTGAAGCTGGTTGAGAGAATGCCAAGAATGTGCAAAGCTGTCATCAAGACAAAGGGTGGCTATTTTGAAGAATCTAAAATCTAAAATATAGTTCGATTTGCTTAACAATTTTTTTTGTTTACTACATGATTCAATAGGCGTTATTTCATTAGTTTTGATGTCAGAGCAAAAACCAAGCCGTGAGGTCAAAGGAATTGTCCGTAGAGCTCCGAGACAGGATTGTGTCGAGGCACAGATCTGGGGAAGTGTACCAAAACACTTGTGCAGCATTGAAGGTCCCGAAGAACACAGTGGCCTCCAGCATTCTTAAATGGGAGAAGTTTGGAAACACCAAGAATCTTCCTTGAGCTGGCCGCCCGACCAAACTGAGCAATCGGGGGGAGAAGGGCCTTGGTCTGGGAGGTGACCAAGAACCCGACGGTCACTCTGACAGAGCTGCAGATTTCCTCTGTGGAGATGAGAGAACCTTCCAGGAGGACAACCATCTCTGCAGCGCTCCACCAATCAGGCCTTTTATGGTAGAGTGGCCAGACGGAAGCCACTCCTCAGTAAAAGGTACATGACAGCCCGCTTGGAGTTTGCCAAAAGGCACCTAAAGGACTCTCAGACCATGAGAAACAAGATCGAACATCTCTGGAGAGACCTGAAAATAGCTGTGCAGCGACGCTCCCCATCCAACCTGACAGAGCTTGAGAGGATATGCAGAGAAGAATGGGAGAAACTTCCCAAATACAGGTGTGCCAAGCTTGTAGCGTCATACCCAAGAAGACTCAAGGCTGTAATCGCTGCCAAAGGTGCTTCAACAAAGTTCTGAGTAAAGGGCCTAATACTTATGTAAATGTGATATTTCCGTTTTTTATTTTTAATAAATTAGCAACAATTTCTAAACTGTTTTTTGCTTTGTCATTATGGGGTATTGTGTGTAGATTAATGAGGAAATAAAACAATTTAATCAATTTTAGAATAAGCCTGTAATGTATCAAAATGTGGAAAATGTCAAAGGGTCTGAATACTTTTCCCGAATGCACTGTGTGTGTGTGTGTGTGTGTGTGTGTGTGTATGTATCGCTCTCTCTGTTATTTTTCTATTGAAGTTGACTTTAAGCAGTGGTTAACTCCTTGTGTGCTGGTTATCGCTGTAGTTTGGCTGGACCTACGTACACAGTCCACAGTGGAGAGGCTGATCAACAGGGCCCCGGGCAAGAACAAGAACCATCTGAAGGTGAGAGGAGAGGGCCCTGTCCCAAACCAACCCCTAGGCCCTACTTCATAGCCCCTACCCCCCATCATGGACACTAGCCTATAGGCACTTGTGGAGAAGATTAGATATTAGGTGCGAACAATATGATTGACGTATCTTTACCGTACTCTCTGATGGGTGACGTCAACCGGGCAATACAGTCAACCCCCTTTGCTCACCCTTACATTGTCATCCCACCCCCTTTAATTTGTTTCTCCTCCATCTCTCTTTATCTCTCCCCAGCACAAGACTGGTTTGCCCATCAGTACATACTTCAGTGCTGTGAAGCTGCGTTGGCTCATGGACAACGTGGAGGAGGTCGCCGAGGCCATCCTGACCCACAGAGCCATGTTCGGTACCGTCGACTCCTGGCTCATCTGGGTAAGACTGGGCCCAACCCGAACCCTGCAGACTGGGTGAATTTTTTTTTTTTTAGTACTGGGCTGTTACAAAAAAAACCTGCGAAGGAATTCAGGATCAGAGTTGGCGATCAGTTAATGTTCAGATGGTTTATCTGTGATAAATAATATATCATCCAGACCATTGATTTTTATTTAACAATTAAAAAAAAAAAAAGACACACAGGATATACGTTTTAAAACTTGTCAGGAATGACACAGTAAAGTCAATGACTTATTTCCATTGTGGTCCCAAAATCAACATTAGCATTCATTATCTTATGTGATGGTGACTTGAAACCCCACCTCTTTAATGAATACCTGGAATAGTATAAAGTAATCCTTCTTCCCCCATCCCCCCTCATGATAGCCATGGTTATCCCACTGGCTATCATAAGGTGAATGCACCATTTTGTAAGTTGTTCTGGATAAGAGCGTCTGCTAAATGATGTAAATGTAATTGGTGTGGTCCTCCCACCCCAGTGTCTGACAGGGGGGAAGAGTGGCGGGGTGCACATCACAGACGTGACCAACGCAAGCCGAACCATGCTCTTCAATATTCACACCCTGGACTGGGACCCCGAGCTCTGCAAGTAGGCACAAACACACACACAAACACACACACACACAAAACACACACACACACACACAAACAAACACACACACACAAACACACACACACACACACACACAAACAAACACACACACACACACACACACCAAACACACACACACACACACACAAACACACACACACACAAACACACACACACACACACACACACACACACACACAAACACAAACACACACACACATACACACAAACACACACACACACACACACACACATACACACAAACACACACACACACACACACACACACACACACAAACACACACACACACACACACACACAAACATGTTTGCATAGACATATCTGCATGAGTTCTTAATGATTTATTGTGCCTCGACACAATTTTTTAAATATATATATTTCCTGCATTATTTTGAACATATTTATTTGTCGGTTGTAGATATTTTGATGTCCCAATGGAAATTCTTCCCCAAGTGAAGAGCTCCTCAGAAATATACGGTTCTGTGGTGAGTTGATAGAACCTTCCGGTCTAGCTTGTGTGTCTAATGTGATGTTTTTGATTTCAAACCATTACCGAACCATGTTTTAAACATTAACCTACCTATCCAGGTTAAGTCCTATCATTTTTCAATAGAAGGTAGCCATAAAGATGTTTTACGATCAAATATGAGATTTAAGTGACTAATAAAAGCAGGTAATTTGGTTTTATGACTAGTGTTTAGTTCCAACTGCCGCAAAGCTGACCTGATAAGATTCCAGGTGACTCTCATGATAGAAGACTATGTAATGGTTTGCGGTGTGGTCAATGTTACAGGGCTAAATTTGTTTCCTTGGTTAGACTGTTGGATCGTTCCCCAGAGACTGTGTTGATCATACGTGACATACAGTGCATTCAGACTCCTTGACTTTTCCCACATTTTATTACACTACAGCCTTATTCTAAAATGGATTTAAAAAAATAAAAAATAAACATCAATCTACACACAATACCCCACAATAACAAAGGAAAAACAGGTTTTCAAACATATTTGCAAATTTAATATCACATTTACATAAGTATTCAGACCCTTTACACAGTACTTTGTTGAAGCACCTTTGGCAGCGATTACAGCCTTGAGTCTTCATGGGTATGACGCTACAAGCTTGGCACACCTGTATTTGGGGAGTTTCTCCCATTTTTCTCTGCAGATCCTCTGAAGCGCTGTCAGGTTGGATGGGGAGCATCGCTGCACAGCTATTTTCAGGTCTCTCCAGAGATGTTAGATCGGGTTGAAGTCCGGGCTCTGGCTGGGCCACTCAAGGAGAGTCCGAGACTTGTCCCAAAGCCACTCCTGCGTTGTCTTGGCTGTGTGCTTAGGGTCGTTGTCCTGTTGGAAGGTGAACCTTCACCCCAGTCTGAGGACCTGAGCACTCTGGAGCACGTTTTCATCAAGGACCTCTCTGTACTTTGCTCCGTTCATCTTTCCTTCGATCC